AATTTCAAAAAATGGGGCGTTGCGAGAATCGAACTCGCGACCTCTTGCACCCAAAGCAAGAATCATACCACTAGACCAAACGCCCTTTGTGGTGTTAAAGACTATAATAGTACTAATGTTGTAATGGCATTTACATATGTAGTGCCTTAACTTTAGTATATATATGTATACATATTCGTCTTATTTATGGTATCTAACTTTTTAAAAGTCAAAATAATGATATTTTTTATGTGATATAAAAATTTTGAATGGTATAAATATAAAAAAAAAAAATTTGAGATGTTCAATATGTAAATACATGGAATTGAGTGGATGAATGTAAAATAAATAGAAAAAATATATATAAACTTCATTGACAATTTTTTATTTATGTAAACCTATATTGAGCTAAACTACTCAATTACAAATTACAGCTCCATTATACTCCCCAAAGTATTTATCATAGTGCTCAAATAAACGACTTTTGAATTACAATATAAAGATCTTTTTAAGTGTTCTTTTATGCGCGTATTTTCTGTCCGGACACCTGACGTACCTCTACGTGCGGTGCAGATTATTTCTGGGTTATTTCAAAATTATTGAAAATAATCCAGAAACAACCTGAAAATAACTCAAGAATACCCTGTGCCGCACGTAGAGCTACGTCAGGAGTCCGCACAGAAAAAATTTTTTTTCTTTTACATATACACTAGATTATACTTCTATACATATACACCACTTAATTCTTGTGTATTTACATATCTAACACCTAAAAATTATAAGTTTTAGGTATGTATGCCACCTTACCGATGCATAAAAAGGAGCATTTCACATTTTTTTTAAAACCTAACGTAGTGATGGTTTTTTTTTATATGATATGAAAGATTTTGGCAGTAAAATGCAAAAAAATAAAATCTAAATTATAGATATGTAAATACAAAAGAATTGGGTGTCATATATGTAAATGTGAATTATATCTCCACAGTGCTTAACAATTAATTTACAGTATGTAAATTGGAGAAAAACTCCATAAAATGTAAATGCAACTATCAGGAAGACACAATGAAAAGCTGACTGACATTTGCAAATTGCAACCTGCTTTAAAAAGTTTTCCGCAAATAAAACATTCCTCGAAGCTTAACATCTTCGACGACTTGCTACATCATCAGGTCGAGTGTTATATCGACAAAGTGGTGATTAAGAGTCATTATGAAGGACTATTTTCGAACGCCTTAAGAAATGAAACATATAATTCATCTGCTCATTCATGCATGCATATTTAACTACTAGTACTGTTATTCTCATGGCAAACATCAGCACAACCACGATGAATTGTAAAGTAGGGGTATTTACATACATAACACCCAATTTCAATGTATTTACACACCTAAACTTATCAATATCACCCAGACATTTCATATCACAAAAAATATCACCATTTTAACTTATCAAAAGTGAAATACACATTTTCATGCTCAACTAAGGTGGCATGTATAAAGAAATTAAAGCTTAAATGGTAGATATGTAAATACATGGGAAATGAGTGGTATGTATGTAAATCATCATTTGCAATATTAGGAAATTCTTTGGTATTCATGTAAATTTTCCAAAAATGAAATTATTTATGATACCAATAGTAGCATTCAAACAAGTCTAATTCCAGTTTGGGAGAATTTATGATATTTAACAGAATGCAAGCATCTAAAATACAGATTAAAAGAGAATGTAATTTAATTAAGCGTAAGAAAAAAAAAGATTTTTAAGAAAAATTTTCAATTACCTGCATGTGTGAAAAGATTATGGGTGCTTAGCGGCATCCTAACTCTGCTCTTCCCTCCTCACTGATGGTGGAGTTTGTGCAGAGTTTCTGCAGATCAATGTAGCCTATTATAGTATCTTCAAACACTGCATCTTGAAGTTCAGCGTTGTCGAAGGTGGAGCCTGACAAAACTGTGTTCTTAAAAACTGCTCCCTGTAAATTGGCTTTTTCAAAATTGACCCGGTCGATTACAGCATTTGAGAAATCCACGCCTGCAACATTATAACATGTTTAGTTCGGAAGATTTGCAGACAAAGCACTCAATTCTTATGTATTTACATTGTTGAATCCGAAAATGTTCGGGAAGCAATCCTAAGAAATGGACCGTTCTATTAGAAAGTGATTAAGGTAGAGACCGACAAAAAGTGTTCCTCATTCATAATATGAATTCTAATTTATAGACCTAGGTCCTAATATTACAAAAGTATATATTAGTCTATTCATTATTAACTTTTAAAGGGACTTTTTTTTTGTAATTACAGAATTATTTACAATATAATAAAGCAGGAGACGATTCAATTGATGACGGTTGTCAATCGTTTGTCAAGCCTTGGTTCGGTCGATATGTAGTCTGAAGAGTACTTCTCATCGATCGTCCTTAGGGCTGTAAATGAGCCGAGCTTGAGCGAGCTCAAACTTGGCTCGTGTTCGGCTCGTTCGAAATAGCTCGTATTCGAAATCGGCTCGTGTTCGAAGTTGGCTCGTGAACACTGTGTTCGTGTTCGGCTCGATTTAAATATTCGTGTTTGTGTTCGGCTCGAAATAGGCTTGGTAGAATATAATATGTCGCGAAATCGCACTAAAAATAAAATATGTAAAGTAGTTGAATGGACTAAACATATACAAAAGAAGATACTAACCACATTACCACACGAGATGTTATAATTTAAATAATTAGTTTGGGGGATCACCAACTAAAGATCCAAATTTACATCTTATATATGTAATATATTATTATATAAATAGTTATATAATTTTTTATTTCGAGTTAAAACAAGCCGAATACGAGCGAACAAAGAACTGTTCTTGTTCGGCTCGTTTATAAGTCGAGCTTTAAAAACTTGTTCGTGTTCGGCTCGTTTACTTAACGAACAAGCCGAACTCGAGCTACTTAATGAGCTGAATACAAGCTGTTCGCGAACAACGAGCTTTTTTGACAGCCCTAATCATCCTGAAGGTTGATTACCGCCGTACAAGATTTTCTCTTGGCGTCTTCTGCCGATCGTTCGAATAAGGTGTCTCATTCGCAATACTCATCTGAAAACTTTCGTCAAAATCTACACTCGATCGCCCGCATCCTCTTTCTAAGCCGCCCATCTACTTTGAGATTCATGCTGACACAAAAATATGTGTACATATTTAGTTCTCTGATTTTTTTTGCTCCTTGAAAGTTATTCAGTACAAGAGGATAAGAGAATTTTTAAAGACGTATGAAATAATTAAATAATATTATTGCGCAATAATGGACTTCACTTGATTTCCGTGTCAGGGCCATTATAAATAGGCTTTGAGACATATAATAATGATCGTAAGCTCTCGTTGTCCCCCCTGCTTCAGCTGCCATAGGGATCGAGCACTCTCTTAAGCCTCAAGGCACTAGCAAACTACGATAGGAAAAGTCTCCTGAACTCCGTAAAATAGGTTATTACCCCCGCGACAATCCGTCGAACCACCTTAATGCGGTCGATCTCAGCGTCGTGAAGAATAGCTTACACTTGAGGGCGTCAAAAATTTTCAATGCATATGGACGATTGAAACAACGTGAGGTGGTCGTTGAGATTCGACTGTCCTTTATATGTCTCTAAGACCATCATCTTGAACTTCTCAAGGGATTCAACTCTGGAGACCTGCAGAAAGAAAGTGTTCTCTGACTGCCTTTGTACCTAGGTCCGCACCGGTCAGTTCCTCTCCTCCACAGGGGCAGATTTGACTTGTCTTGGTATCAACTGTCGTCGAGCTTTTCCTGCAGGTGGATCCCCCACTTTCTATTGTAGGCTGGCAATTCCCCTTGAGGGGGTTGAGTTTTCCTTATCATGGTGGCTCTTCTCCTAGAACTGGGGTTGCTGCTAGGGCAGCAATCGCTCTAAAGACTTCCGCAAACTGTTTTGACATCTGGTTAATGATTTGAGTTCTCAAATCTTGCGGGACTTGTTGAATAAATTCTTCCATTAAATCTTGGGTGCATGGCGCTTCTCCTTCATTCCTCTGACTAGACTCTCTCTATTGTTGATGTTGGGCTCCTTCTCTTATTGGCGACATGTTTTCGCGCTCATCGCACCTTAAAAAATGTTGAATCCAAAAATATTTGGGAAACACACCCAAGGAATAAGTGATTAAGAGAGAGAGAGAACAGTAGTAAACTGAAAAAGGTGTCACTTATTCATAATATGAAACACAATTTATACGACTATGTCTCATTATTACAAAAGTACATACTAGCCCCCTCATTATTAACTTTTCAGGGGGATTTTCGGTAACTACAGAGTTATTTGCATACAATAAAATTTGAGGCCGATTCGATCGAAGAAGATTGTTGATCGCCAGTGAAGCCTTGGTTTGGTCAATATATAGTCCGAAAAAGAGCTTCTCGTCGATCGTCTTGAAGGTTGATTACCGCCTTACCGGATTTTCTTTTGGAGTCTTTTGTCGATCAATTGGATAAGATGCCTCATTCGCCAATACTTATATGGAAACGATCGTCAAAGGCTACGCTTGATCGTCTGCATCTTCTTCTGAAGCCACCCATCTGCTTTGAGATTCATGCTAACACGTAAATAGGTGAACACATATCTAACATCTATACTTCAATTTTTACATAT